GGCGGCAGAAGCTTGGTTTGGTGTAGAAGGCTTCCAGCCGTACATGTTTGAGCCCTTGCCTCGCAACGCTGCCAGTTCTGTTAGCTCTACGCCTGATGAAGACACAGACGTCCATCCCCGTGAACACTGGGATTATGATTTCTTATTTCAACTATTGCGTATATTAGCTGCGACATATTAATCAAGATGCTATGACCGAAAAAATTTGATAGACAGATGACCGTTGATATGATTGGCTGAATTTAGGTGTTCAGGCTGACGTACAACTAGCTGCTGTTGCGGCTGTAGCATATTTACCTGCCTTGGTAAGCCATAATGGTGCGGGTTCACCTTTTCACAGCACTTTCCTCATGTATTTGTAAAAATAAGGAAATAAATGAGTAAAAAAAAATAAAAAATTGTGGTACTGGCATAGTTATATTTTAACAGTTTTAGCCAAACCAGTGTGCTGAAACACACTGGGTAGGAAAGCCAGATGTCAGTCAAAGAGACATTAAGCTCACTAAAAATGAGCGTATCAGGCAAATTTTCTGTGTAACAGTGACTTCTTTGAATGTAAGAGCCTGCTAGGATTGACCAATGACCAGGGGCGAAACAATGACCTTAAATTGTAACCCTGATGCTATTCTAACTTAACCTTTAACTTTTAAAAATATTTCAGCCGTATCGCTAATCTAAGCTAGCTTGGTTCCTCTGCTGACCAACTCCCAGAATGACGGGCCTTTCTGGATTGAAGTCAAATCATAGAGTCTACTATTAGACATAACTTCTACTGCAGGGCTCGATGTTAACCATCGCCCGATCGCCCGGGGCAAGTAGTTTTTATTGTCGGGAGAGTACAAATTTAATTGCATTTGCCCGCCCACAAGTACAATGATCGCAAAAAAAAAAAAATAATAATAATTTATCACTCAAAATTACTTTAAAATCACCGACATTCGCTAAAAACGACCCACAAGCATTGCTGCCGCCATCTTTGTTGTTTTGTACACATTCTTTTTCCAAGCACACAACAGTTCAAAGAAAAGTTTAGTTTGAAAAGAATGTGCAGGAAGGATTGAAAAGCATGTTAACACGGTAATGTAGGCTTGAGTTCATTATCTGACGCATGCAGATACACACCAGGAACCTGGAAACTTACTGAATTACAAAAAACAGTTTTAAAAAAAACATGTTTCATTGCTATATATACAAAAATAAATATTTGGAACTTTATTTATCAAACATTATAGTGGGCAAGTAAAAATTGTTTCTGAGCAAATGAAATGTGAAAGCCACTTGCCCAATGGAAAAAGTAATGAATTCATGTTTTAAAGATTTTTGAAGCATTATAAAAAGAAAATCATGAGACTAGAAAAAAAAAGTTGTTTATGCATTTTCTCTACCTGTCAACTACTCTAATGTCCTGTCATCACAGTGATGTAGAAGGCACTCTACCTGTGAGCTTGATTTTAGCCAGTCTAGCGTAGACATCCGGTAAATCGGCAACATCAACTCTCAGCGGCTTCCACTGTCGGTCCATTCTGGCTTGCCTCGCCTCTTCCGTCTCGACGTGAACGTGTGGCGGCTCATCTTTGCTTGTGACAAGATGAGACGCAGAACCTTCCAGGGGTGCCCCACTCTGTGCAGCAGGCTTGATGGAGGCGTTTTTAGGTTGTGTTTCGTGGTTTACATCCTCTGACAGTGGCACAACGTCTGCAAGCTCTGAATCAATAGCCGGTATTCTCTCCACATGCCTTTCGACGGCGGCATGTCTTTCTTCGACGATGTTCAGGTCATGTTTGGGGATTGCACGCTGGTGAAGCTCGCTGCTGTTTTTGGTAACGTACTATGAAAACAAAATTTGGAAAAGAAGCCAAAAACAGGAAAATATGAATCATAAAAGGAAAACAAGAAGGAACAAAAGATTCCTAATTAAGTGTTTTTACCCTTAATATGAGTAGGTAAATAGATCATTTGCCAATGGAATGAGTATTTTTATATAATTAGATAATATGCACTTGAAATAAGACAAAGCAATTGTTTTTTCTTATTTAAAATGTAATCATCTTGTTCCATTGGCAATTACTCACTTTCCTCCTGAATTCAAGAAAAAATGCACTTATTTTAAGAAAAAATGATTTTAACTTTTTGCAGAGCAGTGAAGGTACCTGTCGTTTCAGAAAGTTAAGATGTTGATATGTCAGCCAGTTTGAAGGATCTCTTCTGTGCAGGTAAATAAGGCTTCGGGCAGTTTGGTTACATCGAGGAGCGATTTGAACCAATTTCTGTTTCACTCTCAAACCAAGAAAACCTGCAAACAAAAAATGAAAGCGCATGAAATCACTTTAAAAAGTACATTTTATTTTACAGGCAGGGGGGGGGAAGGACTGTGCTGTAAGTCGACACATTACAACCTTGAGCATAATTTTCAAAACACAATGATTTCATGACTTTCTCCACTAAATAGTAAGGAAGGTTTTTGAGATTTTGAATCACTTGAGGGAGGCGTTATAGAGGTTGATGACCACAGGTAGGAATGATTTCCTGTGGCACTCTGTGGAGCATCTGGGTAGGAGGAGTCTTTTGCTGAAGGAACACATCACTGTGACAGTTATCAGCCATGCTCCAGTAAAACCTCAGTGTTTTATGGTGTTTTTTGATCTTTTTTCCCAGTTTGCGCTATCGCTAAAGTTCAGTCATTGAAATGAAGTTGGCTTTTCTAAAACATGCAATCATTTCAACAATCTTTGCATGCTCGACTCTCTGGTTGTTGAGCTACTCTGTTCTGTCGGTGCAAATCCAGCAGCTTAGCCTTTTATGTTTTGATGAGTTTGAGAGAGTACACATTAAAATGTCAGTCAGATCATCAGAATGCTACTTAAATATATACTTAAATACTTAAATATTCTGTTTTTGTTTGGAGCAGCAAACCACTACGGAAGAGGATTAGGGCCACTAAAAAAAAGTTAATTGATTTTTAAATATTATTTCATTTAATATGAGGAAAATCAGAGCTCAGAATTGTGATATTAAAAAGTCAGACTTCTGACTTTTTTCCCATATGCAGAGGCAAGAGATCACAGCTTGCATGTAGTGTTTTTCTCCCAGAAAACTCCTGGATCAGCTTTTCTGATGCGCTGATGCTTTGCATCAAGATTTCCAAACCCCAGCATCGAACACTCAGATTCTCCAACGCTAGAACACCGGAATATTCTGATGTTCTGAGGCCCCAATGCTCTGACCGCCGCAGGGCATCTCAACCTGCTTGATGCAGCCCTCCATAGACCTTGCATCTAAATCTGATTTAGATGCAAAGTCTATGGAGGGCGGCATCATGCTGGTCAAGAGGCCCTGCGGCGGTCCGAGCTTCAGCATTTGAACCGAGGCTGCAGACCTCTGAAGATGAGCTACAGTAATTATTAATGTTATAGCTGCAGTAGAGTCAAATCAAATTCTCCCATTCTGAAGCTTAACTTTGATTTCCAGCAAAGATTCACTGAACAACAAATAACAGTCTTTAATGAGTCAAATATGAGTATTTTGATTTTATCTGAATGTATTATGCATTTAACTTCCACCAAGCAGTTTGATAGGTTCATTGTCTCAGCTGGAGATCAAGCCCCGTCCCTGGGAGAGGGAGGGATGACTGCCCAGAGGGAAGTGGGCTGGTGCTGAGAAAGACAAAATTCTTTTTCCGATCACAGGGATCGTAATCCACATTCTCGCCTCAAAACCATCTTAAAATATTATTTTGGGTCATTGAAAACGATCATCTAACTTTTTATTTATAATTTTGTAACTGTTTCCACCACCCCTGGTCGAGCTTAACCGATCTGCCACAACCCGCACTGAATCATGGGAAATGGTAGCCCATGAAGGACACTCCTGATGTATCCTTCAAATCTGCAGAATTGAAAGACGCATTGGTCGATTAGAAACACCTTCTGCGCAGCCCTGACAAAATCAGTCGACAGATGTGGCCTAAGAGGATGCAGCCTTTAAAGTCCCAGCACTGTTTTTTTTTTTTGGCAGTTGGCAAACACCTAAAGCTGCATTACCAACAGCTAGTATGGGCTATGAAACTACAAAACTAAATTCTATGTAGTTTCTTTTAGGGATGCACGATATTGGGATTTTGGCCGATAT